GGCTTTTTCTCTCGTTTTATCCACGAGAAGGATATCATCAGCAAAAAGCATACACCAAGGTACATCCTCATGTAGATGTCTAGTAAGACCATCCATAACTAAAGGAAAAAGATAAGGGCTTAAAGCTGATCCCTGATGTAATCCAACAGAAATAGGAAAATATTTGGTCAATCCTCCTTCAGTTTGAACACAAGTAACACAAGTAACAGCTCTAGTATACATATCTTTAATGACTTGAATATAAGTCATATCAACACTTTTCTTCTCGAGGACTCTCCAAAGGATATCTCTTGGAACCTTATCGTAAGCTTTTTCTAAAGATATGTAATTGTTTGTAAGAATTTATTGCGTGCTACATTCAGAACTAAATGTGAAGGGGGACCCATTTTTTCAATATCTCTGAGTTAACAATTGTTGCTCTGCAAATGTCAATTCTAGTATGATGTATTGACCACACATTGCGGTAGTATTTTACAGCTGGAGATAACCTACAGCCATTATTAGTGAAATAAACAGCTCCTAATTTGTTCAAAACCTACCAATGTTCTCCTATTTTGTTGGTCAATTAAATAGTTTATGAGCAAATTTTGCATTTAGTAAAGCAGTAATTGGTCATGCCTTATAATTTGGTTGAACATAACCTACCTTTGACCAACCTATACTATGTGATACGGATTCAGAGCTTATATTATAGGGCTTTTGTTTTGTGGAACATGCCTTCGTTCAGATTTTTGGACTTCAATTGATTGTAAGTTTCGCTTCACTTACAATCCATGCTTGGATTCTAATACAACAAATTGGTGATGACTGAAAACGATGATGCCCAGTCCACTTGATTGGTTGGGATGAGACTCCTGTAAGAGCTCCCCAGGACTCCCAGACTACACTGTCCCATAAAAGTGAGGGACACCCCTTTTCCCCAAGGGATTAGATCCTGACGAAAAATGGCTCTCTTCTCGAAGAGAATACAAAGTCCTACTAAGGAACAAAGGGAAGGTAAACACAGCACATCTCCTACCTCTCTTCCTTTTCTCTGCTCTCATCTCTTCAGCAACAAAAGGACTGTGCCATCATATTATCTTGAAACTGCTTGGAGTTCACTAATGCTGAAGTTATCTGCTCTCTCTAGGTTTTGCTTAGCAGGAGTTTTTGTATGAATTAATTGGATGCTCTTACTGCATTAGTTTGTATGACTTCTTTCCTGAATTTTTGTGTATTTCTTGGCGCGAATCTATACCCCATCTTTTTCCTATGTTGCCTGCAATACTGCCCCTTAGCTATGGTATTGGCCATACAGATGCCTGTGATGCAGAGGCCTCTTATTGGCTGGTTCTGCGAAACAGCACTCAAGGCTTCTGCACTCTCCATACCCTCAAGGCTTCTGCACTCTCCATTCCCAGGGTGCATTCGCCTGATCAGTACCTTCGGCAAAATCTTGTGACCTTTGTTTTTGGTGGCGGCAGACTCTTAAGAATAGCTGCTTGGGTCTCCAGGTGTTGGTGGAGTCAGGGAGACTTTGTGAATGTTGTGAATTTCTTATTAAGTACCATTTGCGAGTTTGCATGGTATTCTGAGCCATATTCCTGCAATTTATCTTAGAAACTTGTTTTAGGGTATTTGTCATATACATGTAACATTGAAGAAAGATTATGATGTAACTGAAGTCTCAATTTCAAGTTTGTCATGGCCCCTACAGATTTAATTGCATGAAACTTGACAGAAATTCAGGAATATCGAATAACGTCATCTTAATATCCTTTACAATCTCGCCCTCTGCAACCATCCCCAATCTTTACAATTGTACTCCAAACTTAAAAGATTGTTTTCCTTTTAGAAAATTTTGTTCTTTGAAGTTGTTTTTTGTACATACCAGGTATTTGATTTACTTCTGAGTAGTGCAGGTCTTACGAGTTTCTAGTTAAAACTGTCTCATTTGAAGGTATGATTGATTGAAATATGATTAGCACTATCGTCTAGTGTCTATGAGAAAAAAACTCATGAAATGCAAATTTTTCTTTCTTTTTGACTGTGCCGAAACACACAGGACAATCAATGTCCATACTTTTTGCTGAATTTTCATGTTAACAATTAATCCTGTAAACCTCTAAAAAGTAAAAATATAACAAGCCATTCCAATATTAAACAAATTTCGTAATTGAATGAAATAATTATAAGTTTTTTGAACACTATGTTAAATATTGATACCTTGATAAATTATCAGTCCTTAAAAAAATAATATTGATTAAATTCATAAAATATTTGTTCCATACCTTTAATCCATCAAATATTGATTGTGATTTTTCTGAAGGCTTGATTCTTTAATCCATCAAATATTGATTGTGATTTTTCTGAAGGCTTAATTAGTCTAATGTAAAATGTATATTGTTTGTTTTTTATTAATATGGATGTAAAATGTTTAAGTGTACTCAATAAATATTGTTTGTTTTTTATTAATATGGATCTATTAATGAGAAATTGCAATCTTTTTCTCTGCACTCAAATCATATTCATCTTTATATTTCTCACTAAATAGCTACGTCAGTTTCATATTCCTGTAATTCTCGTTTGCTTTTCATTTACACTCTATTCATTTTTTGTTCCATCACATGTAGCTAACAAAAAGTTTCTAGGTATTGAAGATCTGTAGAAATTGATATTTAACCAATGAACTCATAGAAAGTACGGCCTTTCATGTGTTGTTAATATTTGAGGATTATATTGTTTAGACTGGTATAGATATTTGCTTGTTTCCTGTAAAGAACTCTGAGTTCTTAAACTTTATTTTCAAGGAGGCTCATTGTTAATGCAAATGTCAGTTTCATCACAGTAGCTGTGATTTTATTGATAAGCATACTTTGTTATGCATCTTTCATATGTTTGCTTGGCTGAGCATTGCCCCACTTCTTCATTCAGCAGAATTTCTACAGTTCCAAGTTTCAAGATTTATCTATTTTTCTGATTTTGTTTAGTTAATTTTAGTTTTATGCTTATAGTTGAGGTCTTGAGATTAGATATTGGACTATTGTGTTTTTCTAGAGTCTGCATTTTAATGTTTTTAGATACCCACATTTTAACTCCAAGAAAGTCCTATGGTAGGCTTGCTGAACTATATTATCAATCATAAGAGATTGGCTTACAGTCTCTTATTTATTATTGCATCTCTTTCTGGTTAATTAAGACATTTTTCATTCTCTTTTCAGGCCAGGCGTGCATTGCGAGCTTTGAAAGGGCTTGTTAGACTGCAGGCCCTTGTTAGGGGCCATGCTGTTAGGAAACAAGCTGCAATAACGCTTCGTTGTATGCAAGCATTGGTGAGAGTCCAAGCACGTGTCAGAGCAAGGCGAGTTCGCATAGCCTTAGAGAATCAGCTCGGCCAACAAACAGCTCAGCAACTGCCAGCACAAGATGCACGTGTTAAAGAAGTAGAGGTAAGCTAGTTGGTAACATCGGATGATGGCCAAATTATGGATTTGTTCTCTGATTTACAGGTTTGATTTATATGTATTACAATGCTTATTTGTTAGTAAAGGATTTGGATTTCTCTGCTTATGAAATAACTAAACATTTCAATACGAAAGTTCATGCTAGATAAAATGGTGATCTAGTGCTTGAATTCTACAATCCGATAATCTTGTTAAAGTTTTAAAAGAAATGTACCATTGTGGATCATAACTTGCCACAGTAGTATATTTCCATATGTGAGCAACCTTTGGTCTGATATATCATGCCATTTTGCTTCCTAAAAATACATTTGAAAATCAAAGATGGGCTTTGAAGTTGCTGTAATTCTTTTAGCAGATTAAAGAAGATGGTAATAGATTTCTAGTTATTGTACACATGCTATGTTTAGATGTGCGTTCTACTTGTATTTATTGCATATACATTGTGAAGGGTTACTTCGCAAGTGGTAATATGCATATCATTAGAGGTCATGAAGGACACGTTATGGATTGTGCTCCAGCCGGCTTTGAAGTGCAAATTCAGAATAATCTCAGCATTAGTGGGTTTTCAGTCTCCATTTTTCTCTTCTATCATGGCTTTCATTTCTATGTTTATCTTTGTTCCTTATCAACATATAATCAAATTTTGAGAAGCAGGCGATGATGTTTTGGTAAAATAAATAGGATTCAACTTATTGGTGCTATTGTTCATTCACCTGTCATTGCCAATAAAGAGACTTTTGTGACATTAACACGTAACTATCGATATTCGGCTTTGCTTAGTATTTGATGAGGAGTGCTTCCCTCTTATGATTCCTATGATTGTCTTCTGCATGACTCTTTGGCGGGGTGATTTTTTGGAGGTTTTTAACTCGAACGCTTTTGCGATTCTTTCCATTTATTGTTGATGCATTCCTTCTATTACAATATCATATGTTGTAGGATTTTTGTGGCTTTCATGGCTTTAGCAAACTTTATGAGCAACTTCTTTCAGCACGCAATGATCAAAATTTAAGGAGTGAAGGCTTTAGTTGCGATTGGTGGCCTTCTATGTTGTTTCTAGTGGCTAAAAAATTGATTTTCTATTTTTAATTGTGAAAAAGGAATCAACTGTTTTTTTTTTAATCATAAATAAGAGTTTTTGGCATGTAAAATGGTGATAAAGATTTTCTAAATAAATCTTTAGTTGAGTGCAATATTCCTTTTTGTTTGGAAAGTGAGAATTCTCTTGCTTATTTTTTATTGTAAGCAAATGCTCGTATATACGCACGCAAGCTAGATATGATGATATAAAACATAAACAAAAATACATATTTACTCTTAACACGTCCTCAATTTATAAGTTTAACTTGCATTTCCTCTTAAGTTGAAGCATCTATAACGTGAAGTTTTAGCTTGCTATTAAGTGTTGAAAAATAAAGAGATTCTATAGCTTTGATTTGTAAGGTTTGATCATTTTCTTTTTATATGATGAAATGATAGTTTGTGTCAATATTTCTTTTTTCTTTCATGGGATATAATATTACTTATAATTTAGATTGCTACTTGATTAAGGATCAAATGGTGTGGTAGGTAAATCAAAATTTTTTGCAAGTTTTGATTTATATCATTTCACAAGTAGAATGAGTCATAATTATATTTTTCTTCAATGATCGGTCTAGCTGCAGCTGTATGCTTTTTATTTTTCTATGATATGAGATATCCACCCGTAAAGTTCTAATATCCTTAATTAGGTTCTCTCTTTAATAGATCAAATATGGTAAATGATTATGTTTCGGATAGACTTGGCCTCTTGTTGGAGATTTTTTATATACTTTCAAATTTTTAGGACAACCTCATAATATATATTTTTTTAAGTTTTGAAAATTCTTATTAACCACACCTTTAGTAAATGATATGTAATGTCAATTGACAAAGATATATGAGTGCTAATAAGGCATTAATATCAAGAAGGATGTTCATAATTTTCAACGTCCAGGAATGACATGAGTTTCTATGAGATAATTACTTTTCTTACACCCATGAAGGCCAATTTTCTTAAGAAGTTTTCTTTTTTTAATCTTTGGAGAGCAAAATACTATCCTTGATATCTGCAAGTTTGATGTGAAGTAAATATTTTGAACCCCATGGATCTTTGATAACCAATTTCTTCTAGAGAAATATTTTTATTTTTTGTGATGTTTGAGCTATCTCTTCCAGTGATAGGATGCTTTCAATATTATAACTGAAGTCAATATGTTCGAGAAAGGGTGTTGAATGATGATAGAGTAATCAGTTGTTCTACCTCCTTATCTAATATTTGTAAGAACTTTACCAAGTTGTCGAACTATGAATGAGGATTCTGTTTCAATCTATGTATAGCTTTTTAAAGATTGCAAATTTTGTTATTCCTTTGAGCAACATTTTTGGAATGTTGCTCCATATATACCGTTTCAACAACATCTCTCTGGAGAATGACATTACTAGCATCTATATATAGCATAACCTTCTTTGATTAATATCAATAAAGATTGGGTAAATGTTGAAAAGTCATAAAGTGTATTTCATGGATCTAAGTATATTCTTTCGCCTCCAAGCAAGCATTCTAGAAGCGTTTTGGATGAAACTTGACAATGACTACCCATTGACAAGAAGCGGGCCTAACCTCAACTAGTGTGTTCAATTCCCATGTATGTCAATCAAGAATGACACAATTTTGTAGTCTTTTACTTTCTTCTAATGAGAGTTAAGACTTCAGGTGATGATGACCGAGTGAAAGTGGAATCAAATGTGGTCGAGAGCTATTTTGTGTGCTTAGGCTAGTTTTGATTGGAGGCCAAGTGGAGTGGATGTCGTAGGGATTGATTGGAAGGATTACTTGAAGATCTAGGCTAGATAGGGCTTCTTTGGATTGTGGTGGACTAGAAAGGAGGTATAGAGTATGGAGAATTTTTGAAAGAGCAGGTTGGTTTAGAGAGGGGTTTTCTGGCCTTGCAAATTATATTGATTTTCGTGATTGGAAGGATTACTTGAAGATCTAGGCTAGATAGGGCTTCTTTGGATTGTGGTGGACTAGAAAGGAGGTATAGAGTATGGAGGATTTTTGAAAGAGCAGGTTGGTTTAGAGAGGGGTTTTCTGGCCTTACAAATTATATTGATTTTCGTGGGCCGTTTGATTTTTTTATGTGGAACACTAGAAGAGATAAAGTAAAACAGCAAGCAGAATGATAAAATGAGTATTATATAATCTGATAAGCCCTACTTTGCTTATGAAGGGAAAGAAGCAAGCTATCAAGCCAACACCTAAAAGAAGGAAATTTCCTTTCCAATTCAAAACATCATCAACTACTTATAATAATTTTCAATTATATGCAAAGCATTACATATGATAAAATAAATTAAATGGGGAGATCAAAAAGGTGGTTGTCCAAGGATGTACAGGAATTCGACCATATGAAGAGATCGCTTGTGCCTGAATAGAGATTGAATAAATTAATGAATAAGCCTTTAAATTAATTAAAAAAAAACTGGCTTAATGTCTTCATGAGGCTGACCTTGACCTATTTCTTTCTTGATTTAGTCAGCAGCTTGCGTGGATGGATGAAAAATGAGCTAGTTTGTATGACTATGTTTTATGGTTATGTACTCTTAAATTTTTCAATCAAGGATATATATATATATTATTTTTATTTTCTTATACATTTTTTTATTTTTTTAAAATGGAATAGCCAGAGCCTAGTATTCGAGCCTCTAGCCTAATGTGCCTAACAATTCGAGTACCACCCTCCATACAGTGACCGTCGCCAGAGGGGGATTCGAACCCCCAACCTCAGGGGACTTACAACTGATTCGCAGCTGCCAACCAACAAATCGGGTTAGCGGCACACACACACACACACAAAAATATTAATATGGATAATTACATAACATTGCTATTATAAATCAAGAACCCACGTGATTCTTTGAACTATCGAATCAATGCTTGTATGTGTGTTAGGATCAAACCATTGATAAGTTGATAAAAAATGAATAATATGGTTTGTAGTTTTATCATTAATGTTGATATTTGAGTGAGAATTTGAAAAATAGATGAAAGAGGGTGCTTAGTTTGTAAATAGCATTGTCTCGGGTTCTCTGTATGTAATTGCCCCTATATATTTTTGTTTCAAATTATTGACATGTGATTATACTTAGGTTGCAGGCTAATTTTATTTAAGATGTTAACTTACATTGTTTTCGAATTTTCTTAAATTCATAACTTCTGATCCATCAAATCACCTATATTTCTTCCCCTAAAATAACATGCTATATTCGTTAAATCTTTCAACAAAGGATGACATCCCGCCTGTACTTCTTCCTTTATGTTATTTCAATTGAAGGCGTCACTTATCTACTTTGATTATTTTACATTATAAGGAGACCGTCATATCCCTAACTTAAATACATATGTACGCAAGAATCTGTGTTATTATGTCTTCATCTGAGGATCTATTTGTCTTTCAACTACTTTGTTTCCGCTCCAAATGTCATCACAAACAAAAATGTGTTGTAATTATTGGCATAATATAGCAGTTTTTGATTTTAGACTTGCTTAGGGTGTTACATTGAGTTCCATTCTTGAGATTCGTGCTCAATTAAAAATGATCATTCTTCTAAAGTTTTTTATCACCTCTTCTTTTCTGTTAAAATTCTTCTTTTCTGTTAAAATTTTTCTTGCATGCATGCAGGAAGGTTGGTGTGACAGTGTTGGATCTGTTGAGGAAATTCAAGCAAAGTTGTTAAGAAGGCAAGAAGCAGCAGCCAAACGTGAGAGAGCCATGGCTTATGCTCTTTCTCATCAGGTATCCGTACACCTAGAGCAGAATTTCTCAAATTATAGGACGTGCTAAAATTTTATTGGACAGTCAATCTCTTTCTTTCATCTTTAGATTACTGAGTGTTTTCAGTTAACATTATGGAACTGATCTTAATTTTTTAAAAAATTTAATCACTTTTCGTATCGTAATCTTGGCTATCTTTTTGTTTAAATTTCTTATTGGAATCATACCTTTGTTTTGCTTACTAGTTATTTTTATTGCAGCTTAAGATAAAGGTTTCTATGGCACAACAAGGAAGTATCCATTTTCATAAATAAAAGTTCCGTTTTTTTTCCTCCCTTTTTAAGTCATCATTGTAAAACGCAGATCCACCAGTTCCGTTGTATGAAATTCTGAATTCTGATTTCAAATTTCCATTCTATGTTAATTATGGAGTTTTTCCATCTATCTTATGAGGGAAGCACTCAACCTTTCTTTCTTCGTCCTTTTTTTTTTGTCTGTTGTAGTGGCAAGCTGGTTCCAGGCAGCAGATTGTCCCTCCAGGTTATGAACCAGATAAAAATAACTGGGGCTGGAATTGGTTAGAAAGATGGATGGCTGTCCGTCCATGGGAGAACCGTTTTCTTGACATTAATCTAAAGGATGGAGTTATGATTAATGAAAATGAAGCAGTGGAGGTGAAGCATGGAAACAAATCTTTTGTGAAGCCTTCAGGGAGGAAGCCTATTTCTTCTCTTCATTCAAACAGTATCAATCAGAGAACTGTTCCGTTCCCCTCAGATGTTTCCTCATCAAACCGTTCTGTAAAAGTGACGGATGCCTCCACCCTGGGAAAAATGAAAACATCAGCAGAAGAGGTGCCCGGAGAGGCCAGTTCTAAACCTTATGGTTTGGTCTCACGATCCAACAGCACTCCAAAAGAAAGGAATCCTCAATTTGATTCACAGGATAGGAAGAGATTGTCGTTACCTGGCAATGGTACGCGTCCATTTATCATAGTAATTTTTTTATTATTTCAGGATAACATGAAGAAAATGTTTTTTTGATATTTTCTATCATCTGAATTTAAAACTCTAGTGCTCAATGGCATGATTACATCATTCCCTCTGTGTGATCATTTTCGCGGAGGCCGTGGCCAAGAATGAGATCATCTCATGCCTAAATGTAAATAATAAAATTTCAGTAATTTGCATTTCTCGAATACGTGTCTATCTCCACAGTTAAATCTTTATATTTACTTATATATAGAACATTAATATCTAAATCACTTAAAAAAATATGCATTAAATTATATATTTCAGTTTAGAGAAGTTAATGTTAATGGCAGTTTTGGTGTGGTTTAGAGATTAGGGTGTTGTACAAATAAAACCTATTGTGGCTTTATTGACACTGTTTTTGAATAAATTGAAATGGCTTGTCATATATCTACACACACATTTATATATATATTTTTTAGAAAGCCCAAAGTTAAATATATTATTAAAAGGAAAGGTACAGATAGGTTGGGTGACAGCGCCTAAATTGACACCCTAACCATCCGACATACAACACACCCGTAGGAAATACATACATACTCAAAACACCAAGATTAAAATATAGACATAAAAAATTGTACGCCAAAAATCTGCCAACACTAGCAGATTCAGTTAGCTTGTGAATGATCCAATTTAGTCTTGCCTATGCCTCTGCCTCGGCCTCCGGCCTCTGGTTCTAGGACGGGAGCCAACTAACAAATTGTTAAGTTTATTGCCATTACCCAAAACAACTAATGTATAATCCATCAAGTTTGGTAGTAGGCCTCCATTCTTCTTCTTCCTGAATGTGTAAACTTGTCATTCCTCATCCGAATATTGACTCATCTGATCAGTGGATTAGTCCAAAGATTGTCGGACAGGTGTAGGCTGTTGCACATCACGAGCCATGTGCCTGACTAACAGTAACAACTTGCTCGATTTGATGAGGCGGTAGAAACGTAGTAGAAATATTGACACCCGTTACATCAATGATAGGTTCTAGGATAGGTGAAGTATGAAATGTCTTCCCTGCCCCCACGAAAAGTCTATGACTCCCTCCTTAGCCTCTATGGCCTCTGTAGAGTAATGAAACTTCCTTCTGCCTTTTACGTTTTATGCTCTGAGGTTTGAATCTAGGAGAATTATAAAATCTGCATTGAGTTTCCATCACGCTTCTCTTGTAATATAGCATACACCCGTTTACACAATAATCAATATTCATTGTTTAAACTCCAACTTCGAGACTAACTTTTTCGTTCTGTATAAATCTTCATAGACTAAATTTTCAGGTGGATTAGTCTCTTTCAACAGGCCTACAAATTGATTGAAGCACTCTCGGGGCATATTATATTATGTTTTGATTTTCAGCATTCTAAGAGCTACAAATAACTCACAATGAGACATGCAACCCTCACACACTGGCTTTTGAACAACATTCAATAAATCATTAATGTCTGTGCCTCAGGATTTCGTGTTTCTTCCTGCTGCACTTGGCTCCCATAATGATGTCTTGTTCCATCAAAAGATTATTTTTTCAAATCTGCTTGAGTCAAATACAGGTGGAGAATAATATCTTGTCAAAGGAGTGAAGCTGAATATTGTAGGATCAACCTCCTTATGTGAAGTCCAAATCCAATAATCTAGTTGAAATCTCTGACGGTATAGATGATCTCACTTCGTCAGGCATTAGATGTGCTCAATTTCTGTGTTTTAAACATGGACATCAAAACCTACCCTCAGATAAGTAAACCGACCGTTGAGATGCAGTTGCCACAAATGCCTCAGCACCATTCAAGAACTCTGTGATCCCTTCTCTATCCTGATAAAGTTTACTGTACATCCACGATCTCGATATACGAATATCCATATGTACCTTTAGACCTGAGAATAATCAATACATTTTGAAGTCCATTCAAATAAAAATCTTATATTTAATTATTATAGTACATCTACTGGCGGAGTTGTACAAAAGTCTTGACACCATTCAATTGAATATTAGATTTGAAGTCAGAACGTTAACAGTCTACTGAGACTTTTAGGGCTGTTGAAGATTGATAAATGAGGAACATTTATCCATATTTTATCTCTAATCTTGTCTGTCAATATAGATACACCAACCCTTTCACGAGTATATTTCTTTCATATTTTCTCTACAAGTATAAAATCACTGATCCACCCAGGTATTCTCGCCCTCAGAAATCCCATATGCGATTAACAACGCACCTCAAAATATATTCTTAGACGAAAATATTTCATATAATGTAAGACTTTTACTGCATTCTTTAATGCGAAGTCTAATTTTCATTTTAAAAATAGAAATTTACTTTAAAATCTAATTTTTTAGTTTCAAAATGGAAATTTGCTCGAAATCAAATTTACATTACCAAAACAGAAATTGCGGCAATGAAAATTAGATTTTGAGGTGAATTCCATTTTGGAACTGTCAAATTAGATTTCGAAGAGAATTTTTATTTGGAAATGAAAATTAAACTTTTCAATGGTGAAAACACTGAACACTTTATATCATATGAAATATCTTCTTTTAAAGAAATATTTTGAGATGTACAATTAATCGCGTAAGCGGCTGCGGGGGGAGAATGATTGAACTTATGATTGGCTTTATGGTTAGAAAAACAAAATACGAAACAATAATATCCGTGAAAGGGTTGGAATAGCTACAGTTGCAAACAATATTAGAAAGAGTTGTTTTATTGAATTTAACGATCTTCAACATAACTAACATCAATCTGATGTTAAACGATTCAATGTCGTTTCGTCGAAGGTCAGTTTGAAAAAAATTCGATCCAAAATTATTTCTGAGCGATTATCGTTGTTCTAGCTAAATTCACAGAGCTACCCTACATAACATATGTAAAATATTACATGTACGTGAAAAGTTGTATTGAAATGCAAAGTTTAAGTGTTGGATATATAAATATATAAGAATTACACATTTTATTTCTAACAACCCTCAGCACTATCTATGGATATATTCATTATGCATTTTGTCTCTAACAACAACAAATGTATCCGTGAAAGGGTTGGTGTAGCTATAGTGGTATACAATATTAGAGGGATGCTCCTTAATGAATTTAACACCTAAAAAGCTAAATCCTTCCTTTAGGAAAACACCCCCTCAGAGCTAGATTCAAGTTGGATCTAATATAAATCTTATCAGACGATCATTTTGTTCAAAATAAAGACTTGGATTTGACATATTCGGATTTCAGGTGCTCTCTGAAAACTAAATTATTCATTTAGCCAAACACTCCCTTAGAGCAGGATTCAAGTTGAATTTAACATAAATTTTATCAGACAATCATTTTGTTCAAAATAAAGACTTGGATTTGACATATTCAGATTTCAGGCGCTATCTGACAACATATGAAATTTAAGTTATTAAGATTAAGGGTCTGTTTGGGGCAGTTGCAGCTATAATCTGCTGATAAACTGATTAAAAATAATTTGTTGATAAGCTAGGTGTGGTGGATATTATAAATTTTTACTTTTTTGGAAAAGCCAAACCGCTGCCACCGCACCTAACTTAATAGGTGCGGTGTGAAAATGTTGTTTTCAGCTTTTTGAAAATACATAAGCTGTCAAAACGCAGTTTACCCAAACAGACTAGGTGCGTTTTCAAAACGCCATCGCAACAAATAAGTTACCCCAAACAGGCCCGAAGTAAATTCTGTAAACCTGAATTTACTGAATCTTAATAATCTTAAACCAAAACCGGCGAAGTTAAATCCACATATTTTTGCGATTTTTTAAATCTTCGATTGACAACTGATATCTGCAGAACCCGTATTTATGAAATCCGCAGTTTTGGGTAAAATTCAGGTTAAATCTTACTTTAAATCCATTTCAAGGCAGTCCCTCATTGATTGGGTCTTAAAAAGCTAAATTTGTTGAAGATTTGTCCGATAACGGATTAGATTTAAGTTATTATGATTTAGTAAATCTTGTAAGTTTGGATCTACTAAATTCTAAATGATTTAAATCTAGAGAACTGTTTGGCAATATATCCAACATTGAAACTATAATTTTTTACTTACAAATCACAATTCTTATGTATTGTATATCTAACGCCTATACTGTAATTTTTATATACAAACCATATAATTTTTATGTATTACTTATATACCACCTAAACTTCAATTTTTACATAAAGGGGTTGTTTGGCGAAGAGGGAAGGATTTTTGTGATCATTTTTTTTTGCTGTTAGGCAGGATTTAGTGTAAATCCTGCTTAAAAGCGGCTACCAAACAATCCCAAAAACATAAATTTCTTTTGTGCTTCTCTTTGAAGGACCAACATTCTGCGACATAGAACATTAAGGATCTTATTGCTGCCTTATAAATTTTTTTTTTGTGTCTAAGCGGTATTCTATCACACAATAGGTTGGATGCATTCCTCCACTTCAACCAGCCAACTTGAAATGTACTAATCACATCCCGATCTATATCACCATCACTTTGAACAAGAGACCCGAGATATCTTAAATGTTCACACCTTAATGATTTAATCACCCATAGTTACAACAATGCCACTAGAGCTACTACTACTAAAATTACATTTCATCTATTTATTTATAGATGTACTGAAACGAAGGCCTTTGGACTCCAATGTCGACCTCCATAATTTAAGTTTTTTCCTAAACTCTTTATGTAATCTTATCCACAAGAAGGATATCACCGACAAAAATCATACACCAAGGCAGATCCTCCTATAAATGTCTAATAAGAGCATCTATAAATAAAGTAAAAACATATTGGCTTAATACCGATTCCGGATGTAATTCAACTAAAATAGGAAAATATTTGGTCAAATTTCTTTGTAGTACCTAAACCCTAAATCCTAAATGCATTCCTCCAAAGAAATGAAAATAAAAACGAAAATGAAGATGAGAAGTTACCTTCCTTGATCGTTTCGGATAGGAGAGGAGCGGAAGGAGGTTAAAAAATGGGACTTTTCAATCACTATAAGCTGTGTTCCTGTTGATGCGTTCCCAACAAGCTCTTATTATGATTGTCTCTTAAGGGTTCAAT